ATATTGGGTCCCCCACCTACCAGGGGTGGGTCGGCTTATACCTAGGAAAGTACACTTGCCTTCCAGCCCTGAGCCTAAAAGGCGAAAGGGTTTAACTAGTCCCTACCTCGGGTCAAAGCCTGCGTATAGGGGTGCGTCAGACTATCACCGAATGTGGATGCTTGACCGAGTACCCCCTCCTCATATCAGAATCAGATCAGCTTATACTCGGGACAGTACACTTGCCCTCCAACCCTGAGCCTATAAGGCGAAAGGGCTTTAGTAGCTTCGTTACATGGGATTTTTTCGATGTACACTAAGAGTTTAGGCTATTCATCTACAATCGACGCTGGGTCATACCGTCGCATGATATCCCGATCTGCGACCGTTCGTATTATGGTATGGGAACATGCATTTATTACATGGACATTTTTTGCAGGGGATTAAGTAATTACGCCACCACGTGGTAATAACGCTTGGCTTCATTAAATGTACAGGCCCCCCTTTTGTAGAAGTCGTATCGTTTCCTGTGCAAGGGGACGCTTCACTACGACCTCTTACATGAAACACATCGTTTCAACGTGGCTTCTCATGTACGCCTTTTCACTCTTCTTTGTCCCCCTATATATATGTGCAAAGCCCTTACTTATACAAAAAATTTCTTCAACCCCTATTATATGCGCCTTTCGTAGCTCAATGGTTGGTGAGATTCTGTCGAGACACTCCAGTGGTTCAGGGTGGTTCACGGCGTTCCGGTGACAATTTTGTTGAGTGAAGGGGAGTTTTTGTGCCTTTAGGTATGCGCCTATCTAAATCATTGAACCCCTTTTTTGTTTACAGAAAAGCACGAGTTGCTATTTAAGTTATTTGTATGTTAATGGCTTCCATAAACTATGGTGAGTTATATAAAAGAGTTAAAGAGGACGTTTTGTGTTGTGAGTCTTTGATAAACTTTTGGGCTGCCATGGATAGCTTTTGTAGGGAACATGTAGTTTGTGGCGAGGGAGATAACCTTATTGTTTGTGAGCCCTATGTAGACAACGAGCCTGTGTGTGTTAGGGGGGGTCCTACTGAGCGCTTCACTTTTTGCTATGCTACTTTAATTTCCAAACTCAAAGTGAGATGGCCTCTAACTGACTGTGAGAAAGGAGTGCTCCAATTGTTGAATGTGGCTCCTACCCAGTTTCACCCAAATAGTTGGGCTTTTGTGCATGGGTTTGAGGTCTTATGCAATGGTCTCGACATTATCCCGACCGCAAAGAAATTTTTCTACTTCTTTGAGAGCCGTACCAGCAAGCGTAGTAGTTGGGTGTCGGTCCATGGGGTTTCTGGTCGGGGACTCTTGACATTATTTCAATCGTCCTACAAGGACTTTAAGAAATCATATTTCTGAATTCGTTGTACTCCGGGTAATGAGAATATCCTTGATGGATACCCCCTATCTTGGAGTCAACGAACTATAACCTATGGTGGACTCTAGCCTGAGAAGTTTTCCGAGAGAGATCAAGAGGGGATTAAAAAACTTGAGGATCTCAAAAAAAATTTCAACACCACAAAACTTTTAGACTTAGAAAATAGACCCAATGAATTGAAAATCTACATAAGTAATCGGTCCCTCGCTGATCGCCTTATGCATTGTTTTCTTTGTGTGATTTCCATTTATTTTATGAAAATAATGGTTATTTTATGGTGATGCAGAGAACATAGCGAGCATGAGCAATCGGGAGTTGATGAAGTTGTGGAAGCAGCAAGAGGCTTCCAGAGCAGCTGGTGCCGACGTGATCGATGAAAAGGCGAGGGATGTGGGAGGTTTGCTCCAAAAAGATGCAGTCGGTGAGAGTTCCCATAAACGTCGCTAGGAGACAAAGGCACCTATTACCCTCGTGAACCTAGAGACGGAGATCGGGGGAGATGAAGTTGAGAAAGACACTGAGGTTCAATCGGCCAAGCGAACCTTAAGCATGTGTATTGGTGAGAACTGGGAGCCCGTGGACCATGGGACCGAGCGGGGGAAGGTCCTATCTTTTAGGTATGAGAAGTTCAACCATTCTTTCCACATCCGCCAAACCGATCTGCTTGACGGTGACAAGGGCGACTTAGAGAAGATGAGTGCCTTTTCAATTGCCAAAGGAGTTGAGTCTTTGACCAATCACCTTTCGGCCTTGTCTCTCATCAACGAGGACAAAATTTGTGGGATGGCAAGGGAGATCAAATTGCAAGGAAAGAGGATCAGTACCCTTGAAGAGAATGTCAACAAAGGTAAAGCTGATTTAAAGTGGGTGACTGCCGAGAGGGATAAATTTCTTGAGGGTCGGCGTGCCTTCGAGGAAGATAGGAAAGCTTGGGTGGCCGAGAAGTCGGTGATAGAGAAAGATCTTGAAGAGACTCACCTAGCGCGAGACAAGAATGTCGATGCCGCACTCATTTTTGAGAATGAGTTGGCCTTGGTGAAGGCAGAGGTTGAGAAGTTGCAGGTCGACCTCCATGCTACGAAAATGGGCGCGATGAAGAAATTTGTGGAGGGTTTTGACGTTGCCACAACTCAAGTGAAGTTTCTTCAAGCTAATCTCGACCTTGGAGGCCTCGAATATTTCAAGGAGATTGTGGATGGGGAACTCGTGGATCCCCTAGAGGACGACTAATCTTGCTTTGTAGGGACCTTACTTTTGTAGGAACTATGCATATTTTCAATTTCTTAGCTTTTATGAAAAAGTAACTTGTTGACCTTGATGTTTCAAACTTTGCTATTTTTTGATCTAAGTCTTCTTTATGGACCTTAATGCATTACTTAGTTTATGAGCGTAAAATTAACCGAGCAAATTTGAATTCCCTACAAAGGAAAATAATCTAAATTAAACATTCAACTTTGAATAAAGCGGTCGCCCAAATTCCGATCTCAACAATCAATGAGAAAAACCATTCTAAGTTAAAACTTTAGGTTTTTGAACCAAAAGTAGTCGCCCAAATTCCGATATCAGCAATTAATGAGAAAAAATATTCTAAAAAGTTAAAACTTGAGGTTTCGGAACCAAATAGTCGCCTATATGCCGATCACAACAACCAAGGAAAAAATATTCCAAGTTTACAGTTGAAATTTTTGAATCAAAAGTAATCGGCCAAATTCCGATCTCAACGATCCAATGAGAAAATATACAAGTTTGAAATTTTTGAATAAAAAGTAATCGGCTAAATGCCGATCTCAACAATCAAAAGAGAAAATATACAAGTTTAAAGTTGAAATTTTTGAATCAAGATGAATCAAGAGTAATCGGCCAAATGCCGATTTCAACAATAAAATGAGAAAATATACAAGTTTAAAGTTGAAATTTTTGAATCAGAAGTAATCGGCCAAATGCCGATCTCAACAAGCAAATGAGAAAAAATATTCTGAGTTCAAACTTGAAATTTTTTAACCAAATATTCGTCTATATACCGATCGATCACAACAATCAAAGAGAAAAATATTCTTTTAAAATTTGAAGTTTCGGAACTAATTAGTCGCCCAAATGTCGATTTCATCGAGAATGGATAAATAATTATGTCAAAAGGCATCCAATTTTGAAAAAGGTGGTCGTCCAAATGCCGACCACATCAAGAGGGAAAATAATTCTAAGTTAAAAATGGGGTTCGGGTTCATATCATCCACATTCCTATATCACCTTTGAATAAGTAAGGTCGTCCAAATCTCGTTATCCTTGATTGGCAAGGAAAAAATAATTCTTTAGTTAAAACTTGAAATTTTGGACCAAGGTTTCGGCCGAGGGCCGATCTCAATAATGAAAATATAAAATAATCAAAAGTTTGGAATGTTTAGACCAAGGGGTCAGCCAATTGCCGATCTCCATAAAATAATTCAGTTAAAAAGGTGTTCTTGAAAGAAATTATATCGTTCCAATTCCGACAGCAAATGTTTAAAAACATGGTCGTCCAAAATCCGATCAAATAACTGAAATGATTTGAAGGGAAATGCATCATTCTTTTACCGATTAACCATGAGTTTGGTCTTCAAATTATTTATACTCGCCCAGTCAGATTTTTACCGAGCAATCACAAGTTTGGTCTTCGAGTTATTTATACTAGCCCAGTCGGATTTTTACCGAGCAATCACAAGTTTTTCTTTGAGTTATTTATACTCGCCCATTCATATTTTTACCACGCAATCACAAGTTTGGTCTTCGAGTTATTTATACTCGCCCAGTCAGATTTTTACCGAGCAATCACGAGTTTGTCTTCGAGTTATTTATATTCGCCCAGTCATATTTTTACCAACAAATCACGAGTTTTCCTTTAAAATAACACATGTCAATAATAATGGAAGGATAATAGGGGATGATATTTATTGACATAGGAATTTATAAGTTAATGGTGCCTCGTTAAAAACCTTCTCAGCAAAAAACCCTTCACATTTTTATGGGGAATAAAAATACTGAGCTAGGAAAAGAGTGCACCTAATACAAATGAACAAATTAACTATAATAGAAACGTAAGTTTGCAGCATTCCAAGTCCTCGGTATCTTTCCACCATCAAGCGTCTTCAATCGGTAAGCTCCCTTGCTGACTACCTCGTCAATGCGGTAAGGGCCGTCCCATTTAGGGGACAACTTATTCCTAAGTTGGGTCAGCTGAGCACGCTTTAAGATGAGGTCTCCTTCAACAAAACTTCGTGCGACGACCTTTGAGTTATACTGGAATGTCGCTTGTCGCTGCTCCGCTACCTAATTTATTCGAGCTCTGTCTCTTGTTTCGGCAATCAGGTCAAGGTCAACTCGTCTTCCTTGGTCGAATTCCTCCTCGGAGAAATATGTTGCACGCATGGACGGTTCTTTGATCTCAACTGGTATCATAACGTCTGTCTCGTACACTAAGTTAAATGGGGTGTCTTGGGTGGATGAGTGGATAGTCGTGTGATACGACCATAATACTCTGGGGAGTTCGTCCACCCATAACAAGCTTGAATTCTCAACCCCTTTTTTGATTCCGGAAAGTATCACCTTATTTGCCAATTCTGCTTGCCTGTTGGACTACGGATGTTCTACAAACGTGAACATCATCTGGATTCCGATCTCCTTACAGAAATTCTGAACCCTTTCACTAGTGAATTGTGTTCCGTTGTCCGATACCAGCACCTGCAGGACACGATACCGACATATGACGTTTTTCCACAAGAAAGTTCTCACCTTTTCTGCCGAAATGGTTGCTATTGGTTCTGCTTCTATCCATTTGCTAAAATAATCCACCGCCATGATCAAGAACTTTAATTGGCGTACGACCATCGGAAAGGGGCCTAAAATGTCAATACCCCACTTATTAAAAGGCCATGGAGATATGAGTGAGTGAAGTCTTTCGGCAGGTGAATGATGTTGGACTGCGTGTCTTTGGCACTCATCGCATTTTCGGACCCAATCAACATAGTCTTTTCTTAGGGTCAACCAAAAGTACCCTACTCGGGTAACCTTGTACACAAGAGATCGGCCTCCGATATGGCTTCCACACATCCCCCCATGAATCTCTTCCATTACTCGTTGGGCCTGCGATGCTATTAAGCACCTTAATAGAGGGGCACTGAATGCTCTTCAGTACAATATTCCCGATAAGATCACGAACCTCGCTACCTCCCTTACAATTAATGATGCTTCATGCTTACCTTCAAACAATGAACCTTGTGTTAAGTACAGGATGTAAGGTGTCATCCAAGATTCTTCATCTTCTTCGATAACCAGAACCTCGACAGAAGGACCATTGATGCTTGGTTGGGATAGGACTTCTTGAATGACCGAACGTGTGGCGCCTAGTCTCTTGGTGCTTGCTAGCTTTGATAGGAGGTCTCGTGAGTTCTGCTCCCTAGGGACATGGTTCAGTGAGAACTTGGTGAAGTCGGCTGACATAAGTTTTACTTTTTCCAGATACCTAGCCAGTTAGGGATCCTTTGCCTCGAAAGTTCCTGCCACTTGCCCCGTCACAAGTTGTGAGTCACTCCGAGCCGACAAACATGTTGCTCCCATTTCCTTTTTCAAGGTCATTCCTACTAACAGCGCTTCATACTCTGCCTGGTTATTGCTCGCCTGAAACTCAAACCGTAGTGACTTTTCTAAGAGTATACCTCTGGGACCCTCGAGGACGATCCCGGCCCCGCTACCGCCCAAGTTTGAGGCTCCGTCAAAAGATAAGATCCATTCGCTTTCCCCAAAAACATCCTCTTCGGCAGGGGAGCTTAATTCCACTAGGAAGTCGACCAATGCTTGAGCTTTGATGGCTCCCCTCGGCTCATATCTGATCACAAATTCTGATAACTTGATTGACCACTTCATCATTCTTTCGGCCAGGTCGGGCTTTTGCAGAACCTGTATGATCGGGTAGTCTGTTCGTATTATTATTTCATAGCTCTGAAAATAGTGTCTGAGCTTTTTCGCCGTTATCAATATGGTGAATGCTAACTTCTCAATCTTCTGGTAGCGAACCTCTACTCCTTGTAACACCCTACTGACAAAGTAAATAGGCATCTGAGAATTACACTTCTTTTGAACCAAAATTGAGCTAACGGCACGATCCGATGCCGACAAGTACACCAATAAGGAGGAATTAGTTTGAGTCTTGGTGAGGATCGGTGGTGAAGCAAGGGACTTCTTGAGCTCCCTAAATGCCCTCTCGCACTCGTCTATCCATGAAAAGCGATCGTTCTTCCTTAAACATTGGAAGAAAGGTAATGATTTATTTGCCACTTTCAAAAGGAAACGAGAGAGATAAGCCATTCTGCCTGCTAACTGTTGGACTTCTTTTACCGTTGTCGGGATTCTCATATTGATTATCGCGGAGCACTTGTCAAGGTTTACTTCAATACCGCGATGAGTCAACAAGAAACTGAGAAATTTTCACGCTTGGACACCGAACGAGCATTTTGCAGGATTTAACTTGAGCTGATATCGCGCTAGAGTGTCAAATGATTCTTGCAAGTTGGTAAAATCCCGAGCAACACTAGCCAACTTCACCACCATGTCGTCCATGTATGCCTCCACATTTCTACCTAGCTGATCTGCCAAAATCTTGTCCATAAGCCTCTGGTACGTCGCCCCCGCGTTCTTCAACCCAAAAGGCATGACCTTGTAATAGTATATGGCCTGATCGGCTATGAAGGTCGTTTTTTCCTCATCGACGGGATGCATCCTGATCTGGTTGTAACCCGAGTATGCATCCATGAAGCTTAACATCTCATATCCTGATGCATTATCGACTAGGCAATCTATGTTGGGCAGCGGATATGAATCTTTTAGACAAGCTTTATTTAGGTCAGTGAAATCTGTGCACATCCTCTATTTTCTGTTGTTCTTTCGTACCATTACCACGTTTACTAGCCACGTCGGGTATTGGATTTCCTGAATGTGTCCAACTGCCATCAGCTTTTTTGTCTCCTCAGCTATAGCCCTCCTTTTGTCCTCTCCGAATTTTTTCCTTTTTTGAATCACAATCTTCGCCTTAGGATCAACCATGAGGTGGTGACATAGGAAATCCGGATCAATGCCTGGCATGTCACTAGCACTCCATGCAAAAGGCTGATATATTGTTTTTCAACACGGTCACCAACCCCTCCTCATCTTCTTTAGCCAAAGACACGCTGACCTTGACCGTTTTTCCTTCAGCCAAGCTAATTTCTTTCATGTCCTCCATCGGGGCTGGTCGGGAATCAAAATGAATCACTCTCAGATCTAGCTCAATGGATTGGACTCCCCGATCAACCTGTGTCACATATAGGTGTCTTCTCGCCCTCAGGCTGTCCTCGTAGCATTTCCTTGCGACCTCTTGGTCTACACAGAGGACTCCGACCTTTCCGCTGGGCAAGGGGTACTTCAACTTCAAGTGGGGTGTTGAAACGATAGCACCCAACTTATTCAATGTGGATCGTCCGACTAGAATGTTGTAAGATGACTGGGCGTCTACCACTAGATATCGGACAGTGACAGTCTTCATATGGTCGCCTTGCCCAAAGGTGGTCTCTAATTCGGCGTATCCCCTGGCTGTCACCTGATCACCTGCAAAGCCTACTAAAGTTCCTGCATACGGCATAAGGCGATTAGTCAAAATTTTCATCCCGACGAAAGCCTCCCAGAACATGATGTCCGCCAAGCTGCCCTAATCTACCAACACGCGCTTCACATTTTAGCCCATGACGATTGCGAAAACAACTATAAGGTCTTCCTCGTGGGGAGACACCCCTTTGTAGTCAGCGTCCGAGAACGTGATGGCTGGCCGATATGGTCGCGCCCATTCTGAGACAGATAATATCGATCGAGAATATCTCTTTCGCATCGCTGACGTCAGGCCTCCTCTAGCAAATCCCCTCGCTATGGTGTTAAAATCTCCATGGACAGCTTGTTGATGGGTCTCCGAACTTTTTTCTAGAAGGTCTCTAGGAGGAGACCTTCCTTTGTGCCTACCTCCTTTTGTATCTTCTCCTTCATGTCTACGTCGTCTATCGGACAAGCCTTCATCATGCTTTCTCGCCACAAACTTCTTTAAACGACCCTCCTTGATAAGATGCTCAATTTGCCTTCCGAGAGCAAAACAGTTCTCTGTAGTGTGCCCATGAGTCCTATGAAACTCGCACTAGTCAATTTTAAAAGGACCCAACTGACGATCAGTCGCTGCCGGGAACTCAAAGAGTGATGCGTTGTTGAAGTCATGGAGTATTTGCCTCCTAGGGTTGTTGAGTGGGGTGAAATTTTCCGGCTCATTGTTTCGCGTCCACTCGCCCCTCGTCCGACCACCATAGTCCGCCTGTCTGTGATTTCCTTCCTTCGCATTGTAGTGATCACGTCGCTTACTCCAATCTGAGCGTACTCAGAGGTTCTTGTTGTCTTCCTTATTGTTGCCCCTTTCTTCTCAGCTTTCAGCCGCCCTCATATTGATTTGTCCTTCCTTCTTCTTAATGTGACTCAGGGCAAAGGCTCTCACCTTTGACATCGTTTGGCAATTCGCTCTCTCCAGTGCGATGTCGAAAGCACCAGATCTTAGACCCTTCTGGAATGTAATGACTGCCATCCTTTCATCCAAGGATGCTATCCTCAAAGCAACCTCATTGAACCTTTGTAGAAAATCCTTCAACGACTCCTCGCGGCTCTGTTTGAGATCAAACAAATCTGACGTGATTGGCAATTTCTTCTTGTTGGCCGCAAACTGCGCCATGAAAAGCTGACTAAAGATGTCAAAATCGGTGATTGATCGGTCAGGAAGACCACTAAACCAATCAAGGGCTTCCTTTTTGAGCGTGCCCATGAACAGCTTGCACTCCCTCCACAGATCAGCATTTGAGCTCGGAAATCGGTCAAGTGTTGGCTAGGATCCTGGGTCCCGTCGAAAGGTTCCACCTAGGGGACCCGATGATCCCTCGGAATGGTCTCGGCCTCTATGGCTTCCGAGAAAGGTCTGAAATCCCTAGGGACTTCCATCATGACATCCTCCTCTACCATTCTGGTATTGGCCATTATCATAGCATGCATCTCATCAGCTCGTCTTTTGATCTCCTTGTTTTCTCGTTGGATAGCATCCTCTTTTTCCCTGGATCCTGCATTCTCCTCTCTCAAGCCATTGATCAATGCCATCATCTCCTCCATGGTAGGGTGTTATGAGTCGCTATTTGATGTGCCGCCTCTCGCCATAGTAAAGTGTAAGTTCTTCTGTATTGCTTGGGGCGTAGGAAAAGTTTCACCGTAGCCCCACGGTGGATGCCAAAATGTTCTGGCCAAAGGGTGGACTAGGGTTTTTTCCTAGATCAAGCCTTCAAAGCCGGAGCATTCAAGAGTGTAATCTGTCTGCTTAGCTCTAGGGTTTTAGGTTTTATACTTTTCTGTTATTGGGCCTCTTGAGCCCCATGAATGTAGGGATCCGCCACCATTAATACTTGAGGGATATTTAATGATTAAAGATAGGATCTTATCTTTAATTTTTGGTCTCTATCCCATATAAGGGGGTTGGGGTCGGAATCCGGTGATGGATTCCTCCTTCCATGAATGACGTAGGGATTGAATTATCTGGAGAAAGAAAAATAATTTTGCATGCTTCAAACTAGATAGAAAAGTCTTCAGCATCACATGGGGATGCTTAAGCAAGAAGACAAGTGGGTGTTTAAAGGCGATGTACCCCCAACTCCGGAGCATGCAACCGATGAAGACGGTGTTCCGTCCCATGATGAAGATCAGCCACCACAGGTGGAAACTGAACCGAGCAGGGAGCCTGAAGCGGAGCTGAAGTCGTTTTCACCCTTTGAGCAAATAATGATCAACAAGATGGATGCAGTGATGGAAATGCCGAGAAGACCTGAGTCTTTGTTTTCCGGTATGCTTGACAGATTTGATGATCTGGACCATGAAGTGAGGCTGATCAAGGCTCAACTTGGGATACCGGAGGATGAAGATTGATCTTTGTTTTGTTTTGATTAGTTTTAATTAGGAGTTTAAATTCTGGTTTGGAACAATTAATTTCAATTTGGTTGTAAGGTTTTTAATTTCTGAACAATTTTAATGTTTTGTTGTTGAACAATTTAAATTCTGATGAAATTGAAGTTTGGTCTACTAATGTGTTGACTTGATAGTGATTCCAAAGTCTGATTTGGAATGCTGGTGCTAAAATGCTCTATTTTTGTGAGCATATGTGGTGATATTTTGGTTTTAATTTTGCTAGTTGATATGCTCTGGTTTTGTCTATTTTGGCTTGACTTGATCTGATTTGTGAATCATTGGTGCACAAATGACTTGAATTTGATGAATTTGGATTGCTGCACTTTTTATATTGTGATGCTCTGTACATGGCTTATAATTGTCAATCTTGGCTTACTTTGTTTTTGATAATGCCAAAGGGGGAGAAATGGTATGGTAGTATGGTAGTGTGTGTATAG